AGAGGGTACTCAACTATCTCACTTAGGATAGCTTGTGCTTTTTCTTTTCTTTCAAGCTCATCTTGCGTTAGTCTAGTTTTGAAGGCTAATGGAAACATTCCACAGAAACAGCCCAGCAGCATCCCCAAAGTCTGAATTTGTTGAGGTGAAGACGGTATCAAATTTAGTCTAAACGCACTTTCGCAAAATTTTTTACTATAGATATATCCTTGTTGTGCATCTGCTCTGTTGACAATACAGGAAATCTGTATGAATGAGTAGTTTGTTAGCAGAAACAGTATTACATATACAAACTTGAGCCCAAACTGTTCGGCGAGATGTCCAAAATGTATCTGAGCTTGCAGTAGCACTACATTTGTTACGATGTTGCCAATTGCTGCAGCTGCCATAATGGAAAGTCCATAAATTGAAGAAAACGTCCTTGAAAAAAGATAATACGCCGCACACTTGCCGAAAGTGAGCTCAGCCAAACAACTGCGGCAGGATGATGAAGTCATTTCAAGCAGAGATCCTTGCAAGCTTGGTGAATTTTCCTGTTTTACTTTAGTGTTCTGACTACTGGGCTGCGAGTATGCTTATAAGGGAGGGTCACGACATCAAATGACCGAGTGCACTGAATAATATTGGTGAGAGCTTTGGCACTCATTTGTAACCCGCTCCCCTTATCTGCAAAGCTTTTTTGGAAATGAAGTTAAGAGCATTTTTCGGAATCCAAAAAATCAATGGTCGAAACAATCTACAGCCTCTATAAGCTTAATGAAGCAGCTGGAAATTTCAGGATGCTTCGCATAGTAACTCCCTTTGTGTATTGTACCTATACTTCCTATCTTTCCATCTGACTTCTAGCAAGGCTGTGTTGATCGGTTTTATCCCGGCCATTAGTTCATTTTCTTATCTCAAAAAATGTTCACAACTTCTTTTCCAAAGACGCTCTACAAATGGAAAGCAGGTGTGGAGTCAACGATCCAGACCTTCACTAATAGCATGCAGATTGTAATGATCAGCCACTTCGACTTCGTGATCCCTCGCTTATTAGAGACATCCAAATTGAGATTCACTTTGCTTTTTCCAACCTGTATTTCCAAACCTTTTCATGGCCCTGTTTTCAGATTTGGGATTTAAGAAGCCCAAATCTGAAAACAGAAACCGAAAAATCTCTCCCGACTTTTGAAAGCGGGACATTGTTTTATCGAAAAAAGCAGAATCGTGCAAGCACAGAAAAAGAAGCACAGTATGTATATCGGTCCTTGCCATCTTGGATAAGCGGAATGGGAGTTATGTTCATG